GGAAGCTCACACAGTGGCCCTGTTTCAGGCCACGCTGCCTAAGGAGCTGAGGGAGCAAGGCCCGAGCAGAACCGTGACTCGAGGAGAGAATGCAAGCCACGGGCCGGGACTGCTGAGGCTGCACAGCCACCTGCTACTTTCCAACCACACGCTGCTAAGAGGAGACACCTAGTAAGTCCTGACCCAAAGCACAGAGAGGCACATTTTAATTCAGAGCTCTTGGAAGGGCAGCTTGCAACAGGAAAGGCAGGCAGTGAAGGAAAGTGGAAGGGAAAAAGAAACATTATTGGAGGGAATAGGAATGTACTGCTTTTCTGTTCAGATCCCAAAGGGTCTTTTTCTTCAAAAAGGAGTATATCTTGTTTACACATGTAATACAGAGTCTCCCACACCAATAATGGAAAAATAGCAAATTAAGGAAATGAAACAAACCTTGATGCAGGGCTAGGGTAGAAAGACAGATCATTTAGCACAAAGAAATCAGGACAGGTGAGAATAATTTTGAATGTCTAGGTAGCAACAGCGGAAACTCTACATTTCATTAAAAGAGATCAGTCTCTGTTAGCTTACTAAGTGGCATGCTGGAATGAAACGCAGGGACAGGCAGAGTGGGGAGGAGGCAGCTGCCTTCTGGGATTTCTGGCGAGATAGAATGAAATCAGATTATCAAATATACAAGTAAAATCTCTAAAACAAGTTTGCAACCTAGGCGTTCCCTCCCCAATGCATTCCGCATGATGAGTTACACTCACGAAACAGAGGTGTTATTTGAAATATATTTTCCACAGAGGAAAGGAAAAAAACCACCTCTAACAAAATAGGACGCCACCCTGAGTCAACATATCTGTAAGGAATAATCTATTTTGGAGAATCTTAGATAAAGCACTTTACTCAGATGAAATTAAACGTAGAATATGTGTACATTTTACATGACATCCTCTATAATTTAAGATTTTTTTGAGACGGACTTTCACTTTGTAGCCCAAGCTGGGGTGCAGCAGCATGATCTTGGCTCACTGCAACATCCACCTCTGGGGCTCAAGCAATTCTCATGCCTCAGCCTCCTCTGTAGCTGGGACTACAGGCTCGTGCCACTATGCCCAGCTAATCTTTTGTGTGTATATTTTAGTAGAGATGGGGTTTCATCATGTTGCCCACGGTGGTCTCAAACTCCTGAGCTCAGGAGATCTGCCCATCTCAGCCTCCCAAAAGGGCGGATTACAGGCGTGAGCCACTACACTCGGCCAATTTTAAGGTTTTTTTAAAGATGTTTCAGAAATGACCAGTCAGTCTCACATGACTGTACCACCGCTGCCTGAGGCCCAGGTACCCTCCCTGTCCTGCACACCGCAACGCACAACAACTGACGTGGTGGCCCTCCATAGACACCTGCATCTGGAATGAATGAAGTGCAGCCATCACCATCCCCAGGACAACACCCTGCACACTGGCCATGTGTCCAGAGGCCAGGCCAGCCGTAGTGTGCAACGGCAGCTCGCCAGCCTCCACCGCATCCCGCCCAAGGCCCCCGGCAGAAGGGCGAGCCTGGGCTGGATATGAGTCTCCTGTACCTGCACTGCCTTCTGCACCAAGGTGGCAGAAACCACAGCGGGCTCCAGCGATCAACAGTCACGTACCCTCAAGGTTAACTCTGGGGCAGCTGTGCCTCCTGCAGGCTAAGCGCTGCCAGTGGGGGTGTAGCTACCGTCTCTTGCCTGCAGCAGACCTCTCCTGAAGCAAGAGAAGCTTGGATGGAGTGGAATACAGCTAAGCAATTTCTACTCATTCTCCTTGAAGAAAAATGCTTCATGACCCCAACCTGAAGGGCAGTGGAGAAAACAGCTTTGGAGAAGACAGCTTTTGAGCATCAGATCTCTGGACTGGTTAGGGCACTTGGACAAGCTACCACACGTGTGCCAGCTGCTCTTTCTCCTTGGCATCACACTGGGTTCACTGCTGTATCAGGACACTGCCGTCCCTCGCATGTGCAGGGAAGCGGCACACTGAGTCTGTAGCACTCATCTCACGAGCATATGTGAGAGAGGTGAGCTGGCCTTGGGTTTGTTCTGTTTTTACAACTTCTGCACTGGCCATAGTACAGGCCCCGTGCCTCAAACCCAGCAGGTTTTACAGACGAAGCAGCTGCTGAGATCACAGAGCCGATAAACAACACAGTGGAGGGATGGGAAGGCTGCTTCTATACAGAGGTGGGGACCGCACCACGTGGGGAATGTGCTCCATGCTACTGCATGGGCCACTTTAAAACGGTTCATTCTTTTCTCTGAATTTCACCTCAATTAAATAAAAAAGTAACAGGGCAAATATGTGAACTCTGCACAAACATGATGACATACATCAGGTGCCACGCACTGGGCCACGCGGCAGGGTCACAGAATGCAGAGCCCACGGCCCCATCCCAAAAGCACTCGCCGCGTGGTGCAGTTCGCTGGTGGTGTCAGCACTCTCTCAGAGCCAAAACAGGGAGGGAGGAACAACCTCTTATGGGGAGTTTGAGTCAGAAGAGGCTCAGAGAACTGGGAAACAACCAAAGGTCCCCTGCGTGGGTGGGCGTTGCTGACCGAATGGTGGGCGCTGCAAGGAAACGCATCCGCTCACCATCGAGGATGGCCGCTGTCAGGCACTATCCTATGCCTTGCGGCGGAGTCAAGTATTTATAACTTGTTGCCCTCGTGAGACTCACAATAGAGAAGGAAGATAAAGCCAGACACTCTCTTCAAAGTCTACTGTTGAAAGGACCTTGTTCCTGATGGTTTTAAGCAAAAAAGTGACATGAAAATTTGGAAAGAAGTGAGAACTGGATGGGAGAAGAGGCTGAAAGGAGACCAGTTAGAAAGTTTCTGCAGTGGTTTAGAGGGGCATTCTTGGATCTGGATGTGAGTGAGGACACTAGGAACCAAGGGGAGAAACAGAAAGACCAGAGGCGGACCGAGAAGACCCGTGGGGGGGGGTGGGGCTTCCTGGCACCATGAGGTCAGAAGACCTTAATTCACGTACTGGACACAGGACAATGCTGGGCCTGGAGTAGGTGCTTAATAACTGTTACCTGCTGTTATTCCCATGCTGAGCTTCGTGTTCTAACAGTGACTTGGCTTTTCCATTTTTCTGGACAGTGCACCTAGGGGGCTCTGGATCCTTCTCCCCCCCATTGGAATAGAAAAGCAGGAAAGAAAACTGAGCCACAGGCCTGAGTGACAAGAGCAGGGCTTGTCTTTGTGTTCCTGGCTCCAGCTCAATGTAAAATACTTTCCAAATATGCAGGGAACAAGTGAATTAATAAAGAACAAATGAACAAGTCAATACAAGAACAGCAGTGACCTCTGACGCCCAAGCTCTGACAAAGCTCATCTATAAAACAACTGGAGAAATAGGTTTTCAAGGCAGCGCACAAAGGAGGAGGCCCAAGGTCCACGTTTGCACAAGAAGCTGAACAAGGAAATAAAGTGTACTGATGAAAATTCATTATGCCAAGAAGACCCAAAATATTTTCTCTTCCTGTTATCCCATTTCCATTTCTCTTCAATCTGACAACTCTGTAATTAGAGCCCAAGTCCTTACACTGCTGCTTTATTTTCCAAGTGGGGTCTGCCTTTCTGCAGCTGCAGAGGCTTCCTGCCAGGGCCCCCACGCCACAGGGCATATTGACTCCTGCTTGTCAGTATAAAACCAAGACAAGGAACATGGCCAGCTTCCCCGTGCTCCACCCCCACTGACAGATGGACAGCCTTCCCGTCCTACACTGGGCTCCTCAAGAATGACAAGGAACAGGCTGGGCAAGGTGGCTTACACCTCTAATCCCAGCACTTTGGGAGGCCAAGGTGGGCGGATCGCTTGAGGTCAGGAGTCGAGACCAGCCTGGCCAACATGGTGAAACCCCATTTCTACTAAAAATACAAAATTAGCTGGGTGTGATGGTACATGCCTGTATTCTCAGCTACTTGGGAGGCTGAGGCATGACAATCGATTGAACCCAGAGGCGGGGCTGCAGTGAGCAGAGATCGCGCCACTACACTCTAGCCTGGTGACAGAGTAAGACTCCACCTCAAAAAAGAAAAATAATAATAATGACAGGTAAGAGAAAGGTATGTTCTGACAGATTAAAAAATAACCCTTTCTGCTATTATTATACATCTCCTATCCAATTACCCTATATGCTAGAATAGACAGTGTTTCTGCTGGACTACAATTATATGCCTGAAGAATCTCAGGTTTTACAAAATTCAATACTAAAAATAAGAGAGTATTTGGGAAATTTTGTTTAGGGCATTCCACTCAATACCTAAGGAACTTCAAAACAGAATCAAAAACAGGAACTGAAAACCTGGAGAGTTAATGTGGCCACTGAGGTGGGTAGCTCCACGGGGCTGGTGGCTTCCACGGTAGATATTACAAACACACGAAAACCACAGGGAGAAAACGCAGCCATGCCCTCATTACAGCAAGACTGGCAGACAGTGAGGGGGCCCCAGAAAGCATATAACCCACTCTGAGCTGAGAGGCTGTGATGGCAGCTCTCTGGGGAGGAGGCCTCAGAGACGGGCGATCATTGTGACTTCCTACACACGGGCACAGACACCCCATGACAGTCACAGACGCGCACACATACACCATCACAGTGGCTCTGCTGAGGTCCTAAGTCTACTCCTGGAATCCCTGCTTTCTTTGCCTAGGAAAATGTGTACAAGTTAACATAACGTTTGCCTTCCACAGACATGTCACCCCCATTTTCCCCTCACAGGTGAGCTCACCTGCATCACAGAACAGGGCACAGGATTTCAGGTTGTCCTCAGCGTAACTGGTCTGAGTGGGCCGGACACCGGGGTGAGGTCACTTGCTCATCCCCCAGCGAGGCAGGCCTGGCACCACAGTAGAGGCTGGGCCACACCGGGCTTTCCCTATCCCACACCCAGACCTTTAGCAAGACAATTCCCAGAGAAAAGTACCGCCACAGAATGAAACCACAGAAAAGTGCAAATACTTACATATAATAAGTTGGATACAGTCCTTCAAAATACCAGCAATGCTTTTTGGCTTCTGTGCACTGCAAATAGAAGCAAGAAAAACTTTGTTAGTGCTCAGGAATCTGCATCTTGTTGAGAAGGTCTCACAAAGGCAGCAAAGAAACATAAGAGGACACAGCTTAACCCACGAAAAGCTGGGATATAAGGGCAGACAATGTATTTGACGTGAGAGTCCTCCCCTTTCTTATGACTTTCTATTTCTTTTTTTTTTTTTTTTTTAAGACGGAGTTTCGCTCTTGTTAACCAGGCTGGAGTGCAGTGGTGCGATCTCGGCTCACCGCAACCTCTGCCTCCTGGGTTCAGGCAATTCTCCTGCCTCAGCTTCCTGAGTAGCTGGGATTACAGGCACGTGCCACCATGCTCAGCTAATTTTTTGTATTTTTAGTAGAGACGGGGTTTCACCACGTTGACCAGGAATGGTCTCAATCTCTTGACCTCGTGATCCGGCCACCTCGGCCTCCCAAAGTGCTGGGATTACAGGTGTGAGCCACCACGCCTGGCCATGACTTTCTATTTCTATTCCTTTTTTTTTTCTTCTTCTTTTTGAGGATTGAGACAGAGCCTCCTTCTGTGCCAGGCTGGAGTACAGTGGTGAGATCTTCACTCACTGAAACCTCCAACTCCCTAGTTCAAACGATTCTCCTGCCTCAGCCTCCTGAGTAGGTGGAATTATAGGCACACAGCACCACACCCAGCTAATTTTTGTATTTTTACTAGAGGTGGGTTTTCACCATGTTGGCCAGGATGGTCTCAATCTCCTGACCTCGTGATCGGCCCACCTTGGCCTCCCAAAGTGCTGGGATTGCAGGCGTGAGCCACCATGCCCGGCCGACTTTCTATTTCTTTAAAACATCTATTTTCCAATTATTTTTTTAATAACCTTTCATGAGAGATATGAGCATTTTAATGAAAAGGTAAATTAAAGACAATCTACTGTTTAAAACGTACTTGGCATAATACTTCAGATTACACAAGAATGCTAGAACTAAGGCACTGCAAAGACTTCCACTGCCCCTCAATTTCTGTTTTAGAAAGACATCTCCAATAGCTTTAGCGTTTCTAGATCTGTGTATTTCAGAATATGCTAAAGCCACATTCCGACCAACGTCTGCCAGATGCTGCAAGTCACAGTTCACTTGCCGCCCTCTCTCATGTGCAGGAAGACAAAGGAGGATCAAGGAAAGACAACGGGAGCCTCTCCTGGGCTTTCCAGGTAAGACCAGCTCCAGACAGCCACAGGAAGGGCAGGCAGCGGAGTGTGCACAGGCCTCGGAGCAGGGGCCAGATGCTACCTGGAGGCTCCTACAAACCTCCGGCAAGTGAGGCAGGCCAGCGTCCCCCACTGCTCAGGGAGCTCTTCATGCAGAGATGCTCTGCCTATCTGAACAAGGCCTTTCTAAAATTATTCCATTTGTGCTGTCATTTTTGTTTTAAATTCATAACTTCCTACCTCCATGATCTAGTTTATTGGCCCCCATGTGTAAATAAAACCTTCAAAACCTTATGGTGCTTCCTGCTGGGAAGCAGCAGGAATACTGGCAAAGGCACAGCAAAACAATGCTTTATTTGGGTGAGGCAGGGCCGTCCTGCCCAAAGCCCGTCCTCCAGCCGGAGAATGGCTAGGTCAGCTCCCTCTCAGCCTGCCCGCAGCCCCCGCAGCTGTACAGCAATGCCCTCCTGCCACAACTGGCCTGCAGCTGGAAAGGAGTCAGAGACAGGCCCCACATCTACAGCAGCATGCCATGGGAGAGGTGAGAGCCAACATCAGGCTGGCGACATGTGATGGGTTATGAAAATGGCACGAACCCCTGGATTTTGGAGAGCGTGCTTTGAGACACTCAGAGGCATACTCAGGCAGCCTGGAGTGACCTAGTTTTATTAATGGAAAATGAGTTTAATTCAGCCTAGGTTAGCTCCCGTCCAGTTTAAGAAATGAAGCTCACACAGCTGACGAAATCAATTTATTTTGGCAAGGAAGAGCAATTTCAGGTCTCTGCCCCAAATTGCAATTCATTTCACTAGCGTCTTGTGTGATAAACGGAGAAAGCAGGTCTGCCTTCCATGCGTCACTTTAACGGGTCTTCCTTAATCTCCATCACCACCACCGACGGGCAAACGTTCCTGGAACCTGACACTTAAGTTCCACACGATCAAGAAGTGAGGCCAGGGAACAGGAGAACTCAAGCCCACAGCCCCCTTCCTTCCTGGAGCCTGGCTGCTCCAATGCTGCTCCGCAGAGACAGGCCACAGCCACGCAGCGAAAGCCAAGCGCACGGGCCGGCACTGGACATAAGGAGTGGCTCTGGCCTCCACAGCGGCCTTCTCTGCAATTCCTCTTGGTTAAAGGTTCCCGGATCCAAAGCAGCCACCTGATACTCTAACACCACATCTCCATCACTAATGCAATGTGTTTCAGAAAAAACTTTTTCTTCCAATCAGACAAAATAATGCCACATTTCTGAATGCACATCGTCTCTGGGGTATAGGAATATGAGGAATGCCACTTTACAAATTAAGGCACCAGGGCCCTTGGTGACATTCTTCTTCCGGGTCACATAGCTTCTTTGAGGTGGCAAAATTGACAGTCCCCAGCACCGTATCTTCTGGACTCACCAGAGCTCCCCTGAGGAACTCACTCTGCCCACCTCTAGCAAGAAAGAACAAAAAGGCCTCAGAGAGCCGGTGTGAAATGATCCCCAAGACACGGTGTTAGTGACAAAGCATATGCGGAAACAAAAACATACGTTCAGTACGCCATCCTCGACGCCAAAGGAAACGTGTGTATTTGGCGTGCTTTATACAAAAAGAATCATAGCATGCACACATCAAAACATCACATCCATCCCATAAACATGAACAATTATTAGATATCAATAAATTTTTTAAAAAATCACAGGAAGGATTATTTTTCACATACTGGAGTATGTGAAAATTGATCATAAGGGCCATTCTTGTCATACCTGACTAACAGAGCCAAGGCCAGAGGGGCAAAGCACTGCTCCAAGAAGTCATTCTGGGCAAGCCTAGCTGCCGAAACTGACTGCCGTGACTCTCAGATTAGCTTACCCAGCCCCATCACTCATCAGTGAGAGATTCCCAGCTCCCCAAAACTTCACTAATGCCAAAAACCAACTCTCAAAACAACCCGCAGGCGCGGTGGCTCACGCCTGTAATCCCAGCACTTCAAGAGGCTGAAGAGCAGACCATGAGGTCAAGAAATCAAGATCATCCTGGCTAACACGGTAAAACCCTGTCTCTACTAAAAATATAAAAAATTAGCTGAGCATGGTAGCGCGTGCCCATAGTCCCAGCTAGCTACTCAGGAGGCTGAGGCAGGAGAATCACTTGAACCTGGGAGGCAAGAGGTTGCAGTGAGCCAAGATGGCGCCACTGCACTCCAGCCTGGGTGACAGAGGGAGACTCAGTCTCAAAAAAAAAAAAAAAAAAAAAAAATCTCTGACATTTCTCCTTTTTTACAAAACTTCCAAACTTCTCTTTGTTATTCAGACATACTGAAGAGCACCCAGTCAGTGTGTATGGCCCAGACTGCAATGCTCACTTCCTAAATGAAATGTTTTAAATTTAGAGATCTGTCTCTGTAAAAAACCAATGAAAATGCTTAGCTGTGGAGGATGAGTGGAGTGGAAGAGACAGGGGCAAGAGTAAGATTCTTCTGAGTGTATCTTTTTACACAGTTTGACTTTTGAACTGTTTTTTCATATTCAGACAATAAAGTTAAATAGAAAGTATTCTTTAAAACCACTCTTCTCAGAATGAAAAGATTTACGAAAGACTACCATGGCATGATCACACATGTCCCCTTTAGGCCGGGGGCAACTAAGCAGGGTAGATGCCTGTGACGTCAGTGCTCACAGCGGCTGGCGAGGGCATGCTCCTCCGGGGCCCTCCCCGGTGAAGGGCACCATTTCCATCCTACTCTTCAGCTGGCATTTTTCTGGGATATTCCCTAACTTCATGGCTGCCTACTTGTTGGTTTCTCTTGCTTGGTTACTTGCTAATAACCTTTTGCCATTTCTCACTAAACTACCCAAATAAAATGTATTTTGAAAAACGAAACCCCAGTTTGTTCTTTTACAAAAACTACTCTTAAGAAAATATTAAGGCTACATTTCCTGAAACCAAAAACACCTTTAAACAGAGCTGCCTGGCATTAAAATGTAGTTCCATTCTGTTGCTGTTGAACTTCGTGTGTTTGAAATTTGGTAATATCCTGGAAAGTGTGCCACTATTTTTGGTAGCTGGACTTTTATAGCAGCTTTCTCCTGAGGAATGCCAACATCATAATACACATATATACCATCTCACTATAGTTAATTAATGGCATGATTCCATTTGACAGCCAGGTAACACGAAGAACGCAAAATCACAGGTCTCATTAGTCAACTGAAAAACCGCAAAATGAGGACACACAAGTCCTGATAATTGTGGTTGTTGAGCTTTTCCTTAATAAGTGCTTGCTAACTGAACACCAGGTGTCAGAATCAGCCCTCCCAATCTAGGGGACGCAGCCTTGTGATGGGAATGGAGACCAGGAGGTGGAGAGGCACACACCTGCCCGAGGAACCCAGGGTTGAGAGCCGGGTGCTGCCAAGCTGAAGTCCGCTGAGAAAGGCAGTCTCTGCCTCTCAAGTCCAAAGTCCAAATCCAGCACCAGCACCAGGATTCACGACAAAGCCAGACGGTTGGAGCTGTGGTCAAAGGGGAGTTTGCCAGCGACAAATAAGAGGGATCTTAGCCGGGCACGGTGGCTCACTCCTGTAGTCCCAGCACTTTGGGAGGCCAAGGCAGACGGATCATGAGGTCAGGAGATTGAGGCCATCCTGGCCAACATGGTGAAACCCCATCTCTACTAAACAATTGAAAAAAAAAACAATAGCTGGGCATGGTGGCACAGACCTGTAGTCCCAGCTACTCGGGAGGCTGAGGCAGGAGAATTACTTGAACCCAGGAGAAGAGATCGTGCCACTGCGCTATAGCCGGGGTGACAGTGCAAGAATCA